TGATGACCTGCGAATTCTTTGTTCTTAATGCATCTTTGGTGAGTAAAATCCTGATAGAGATATAGGATTTGTCATTCAGAGATAGGGTGGGCTGCGTTCGAGAATGGCTGCTCATAAATTAGGGTTTTGCCAACCCAAGACTGACTTCACCTCAGTCGGATAGCTTAAAGATTCGATTGCTGAATCGGTTCTATCAATTCTTGTATGTAGTGACTCTTCTTATCATTAAGAGTGGTTTGATCCAAAAGTAATTAGGGTAGTTTGCTTGTTCTTAATTATATCATGAGGGGATAGATTTCTATTGTTAGGGACTAATACTTGATCATGCATTGAATTTCATTTATTAATAAAACCGATGAGGTTTTTGTCATTTTGTGTTATTTGTGCTRATTATGTGTCATTGGTTGATCACCAATGAATCGTTCTTTGATCAAGATTATTCATTGAGAGATGATAATTGCGGTGGAACTAATAACACTTATTCGGCCAATAATTTGGTAGAGATATCAATTGTTGGTAGGATTTCCGTATAGGTGTATTGACAATTTGTGTTTATGTAAAGTGGATTTCAATTAAAAGAATGAGAATTCATTGATCGTAATTCTATTTAATTGAACATAGGTTTAGCTAATTGACTCTTGAGAAAGATCGACTAGTGCTTTTGGGAAACACCTTGGAATATGACAACCCTTGTGAGATATTATTGATGTTGAACCTTGATGATTGTGATATGATTATTCCCTAACAACTTTGTTATTGACTTTGTTCAAGGTACTTGTTTTTGCCATTTAATTTCCTTAATCAGTAGCGCTAGTTTGAATTCCTAAATCGCAAACTAAATTGATTATTGCTTTAAACAAGTTGAGAAGAAATTAATAGGTGGCTAAATAATTCATTCCTCGTGGGAACGATTCTGAACTCCATACTATATTACTTGCACGATCCCGTATTTTTGCGGATAGTTGACACCATACCCCTCTGGCTACGTCCCACTACAACAGTGGCCACAATATGATGGACAGAAGGGAAGCCCACAAGAGCACGTAAACAAGTTCAAAGATGCGTTGGGATCGTTTGCCCTGAACGGAGACCTGAAAGTCCAGGAATTCTCCAATGTGAATATGTTTCTCGGCATGTGGTGTTCGATGAGCAGTTCTTTCTTGGACTTCTCTCTTCCTTGACAAGGACATCTCAACCGTTGAAGGGTGTATTTCTTCATCCTATCAGTTCAGTTCAGCCTTCAACGCTGGTTGATACAACAACAATGATACAGAGATGCTTGACTCTTCTATGGATCAATAATCCGCTTAATAGCCTCACTCACCTAGTCCAACTGAAGTCTCTTCTACAGTGCTGGCCCATAGCCCGTTACAGTCGATTCCTCCCCTCCTCCGACCCACCAGCGTACCAGATGAGTGCAAGAGTTACTACATACCACATCAGTTGTTCCTGCTCCACTAGCTGGTACTCATTCTATAGTGACCAAATCTATGCGCTCCATTCATTCCATTGCTTCGTTGGTTACTTGTCATCCATTGCTATATTGTTTTACCTCTGACATAGTAGCTTGGAAGTAGATCCCACTTCGTACATCCAAACCTCTAATCACAAACATTGGTGTGATGCAATGGAATTTGAATTTGGTGCACTATTGGTGAATGGTACATGGGAGCTTGTATTGTATGACACCTCTATGAATCTGATTGGCTCCAAATGGATCTATAAAGTAAAGAGGAAACGAGATGGGACTATGAATCGCTCCAAGGTCCATCTAGTGTTCCAAGGCTTTACTCATGTTCTCGGCATCGACTTCTTCAACACCTTCAGCCCCGTAGTGAAACCAAGACTGTTAGAACTATTTTATCCATAATTGTCACAAGTGGATGGGATGTTTGTCAACTGGATTTTGATATTGCTTTCTTAAATGGACTTGTCACTTAGAATATCTTCATGTGCCAACCTCGAGGCTTTGAGGACCCAAATTGCCTCACCCATGTTTGTTGAGTTGTTAAGGCACTACTCTATCCCTCTTTCTTCATCTATTCCACTACTACAAATTGTGTCTATCTTATAGTTTGTCAATGATGTGGTTATTAGCTCTTCTACCACCTTGATTCAGTCCCTCATATCTTCTCTCTCACAAGCCTTTAAATTGAAGGATATCAGCCGGTATTTTTTTGGGCCTGGAGGCCCAACGAGATGCTAGTGGACTTTACCTTAGTTAGCACCGTTACATACTTGATATCTTTCATCGATTTGGACTTGAAGGTGCCAAGCCTCTCTTTACACCGATGGTGGCCTCTACTAAATTGTCTAGGTTCCAAGGTTTCCCATTGGCTGATGCCTTTGAGTATTGTAGCATTGTCGGAGCCCTACAATACCTCACCGTTACTAGACCCAACATCAGGCTTGTCGTAAATAAAGCATGCCAATTTTTACATGCTCCCTCCGATGAGCATTGGTTGGATGTAAAACGGATTCTACGGTACTTGAAACAGACGTTGGATCATGCCTTGTTTTTCTCTGCCACCTCATCCATGCAATTAATTGCCTTCTCTAACACTGATTGGGTCGGCTGCCCGAATGACCGTCACTCCACTGGGGGATATTGCATCTTCTTTGGATTTGCTCCCTTGCCAATACTGTCACTGAAATGCTATGGCTTCAATCCCTTCTAAAAGACCTAGAGTTCATTTGCATTCTCCTCCAGTCCTCCAGTGCGATAATAATGGTGCTTCCTACCTCGCTTTTCATCTGGCGTTCCATGCCAGGACCCAACACATTGAAGTTGACTTCCATTTTTTTCGAGACTTAATTCTTAAATGGGCTTTGCTAGTGCATTATACTCCCTCTTGATCAATTGGCTGATGTCTTCACTAAGCCCTTGGCGTCACTTCGGTTTACTTCTCTTGTCAGCAATTTGTATGTACATTCTATGCCCATTCACTTGAGGGGGTGTATTGAGGTTAAGGATAAGATAAGTAACGATCAGCTAACCTGATAAATTACACCACTGTTTGTTTATTATTTTATCTACGTGTAACTCTATCTGTTCAGTGATGTAATTGTACACAAACTCTATCTGATTTGATGATGTAATTGCACACAAACTCTACAACTTATGTTTATAAATGTCAAGGATCGGGTGGAGCTTTAATCACCGATCCACATTATTTTATTCATCTCTCTTCTACTCAAACTTCAAATGAAAGATGATTTCTCACAGTCACTGAAGTATTAATTAAACACCTCATAATCAAGCCCAAGTGCAACGATGACTTGGAAGAACAATGCTGGCCTTGAGAGAGTATAACCTGTTGTTGCAAGTTTGTCATCATCTATGGTTTTGAACTTTGAGGAAATAAGCAGCCATAGATTGGTTGCCCCTTTTGAAACTTCTCAATCCATTCCTTAGCTGTATAATTATTTGAGCATTCGATTTTGAGGCATATTAGTTTCATGTTTGGACCAAAATAGCTTGTGACGTCTCACACCCCACAACTTAAGCTAGACTTGAATCGATTAGTGATAATAGAATCCAGCTTAAGGGAAGCTAAGCCTAAATCTCCTATGCTGAGTATTCAAGATATTGAATGAGTATTAGTGATAGTCATTGATGTATCCCATTGATGTTGTTGGGGATACATCAGTTTGTATCTCCTACTTTATTAGTGATAGTCACAAACTTGAGTGTTAGTATTCAAGATTTTCAATTTGGGTATTCAAGATTTTCAATTTAATAAATCTCCTACTTTATTAAAAAGTTGTTGGGGAAGAGATATATTGAGGAGGTCTTAGATAGAAGCCATTGATGTATCCCATCAGTTTGTGACTTCTTAGAACTAGCACAAACTGAGATCTCCATACGGACCATACCAAACACTTGAGTTCCTTCAAGTTTAACTGAGATAATAGGTGTACATGATATTAAGTCCGAGTGGTTGTTTGAGGAGTGGCAATTATCAACTTCTTAGTAGAGTTGGAGGTCGAGTCTTGAGAGAGAGAAGGGGACAACATGATGAAGCTAATGATCTGGTTACCAAGTTAGTGCTTTGATACCATATGATGATAAGAGAATACATGAGAAGATTTTTGAATCTGATCGTGAGTTGAATGGTGAGGTAAAGAATGACTTGATATTGTTACATTATCACGCATACAACTGTTTATTGTTACAATCATGATTTGAATTAAAAAAATTATAAGAAGAAAATAAGATAAGAGAGAAATGGGAGTTCAAGATAAACTTGAATTCTAATAGAATAAGCCCAAGATTATCCATGTGTATGGAGTGTCTAACAAAAATTTCTTTCTTACAAAAGTAATTTACTTGGTCAACAACATGGTGATCTAACTAATTGAACCATTTGACCTAGTCAATGAGGTCTTGTTTCTCTTTTTATCCTAAATTTTGTATTCAATTTTCATTGTTAATAAAGAATAATTTATTTATCGAACTTATTCTTTAATATAATGAATATATAATATTAGAGATGTACCTAAAATTTTCTATATCTTTTATAACTTTTATATTTGTATCTATTTTTAATTTTTATTATTTAATTATGACATAATGAATTAATCCATTTGACCCTAACGATTAAATGACTAACCCACCACCTAGACTTTCTACCATTAATTGATAAAAATAATTTTTATCTTTCACACTTCCTTGTTTATAATATGATGAACATATAATATTTGAGATATGCCCAAATTTTTTTGTATTGAACTTTGCATTTCCTTTTCCATTATTAATAAAATACTTTTTATTGTTTTTATTTATTATGGTGAACATAAAATATTAATGATGTTCCCAAAATTTTCTATATTTTGTATTTTATCTATTTTACATTTTAAGGRTTGGCCCATTTGATTCAAATGGTTGGATTGTTATCTTGCACCTTGATAGGGGTGGATAATTAATGTGCATGAATTTAATTAACAAAATTTTGTGATTAAAAATAGTCACCTTAAATATAGGATTCAACATGAGAATGGGAATAAGAGGAGTATAGTTCAATAAAAAGTAGTATTTAAATTACATTTTTAAGCTCACAATAAATAGGGACCAAATTCTAAAAGTGAAGTATCTTAGTCAAAGAAAGTCCAAAAAATTAAGATATGAAGATCGCGCATTTTTGAGATACTTCTTCATATAGATTTTTCTTATCTTTGTTGTTCTTAGAGCTCATATATATCCTCATCTTTCCCCTCTTTGTTCTGGTGTAAGTCCTCCCTTACCACAGTTAGGACAACTCTTTAAACCAAAACCTTGGCAGTCAAAACACCTAAAATGATAAATGTAAAACCCATTTTAATTTAAAAGTAAAATAACAAATTAAGATCACACATTTAATATGAGTGGTATTCTAAGGAGGTTCTTACTTCCATCTTTCAAAGATGTTTCCATTCTTCTTATTCTTTCCAGTTCCCTAGAAGTAAAAATATATGTCATTGATTTATAGCATAAAAGTAAAAAAAAAAAAAGATGTCATTGATTTGTAATTATTAAAATAACTAGAACCAGAAATAAATAATCCATCACAACTAAATGTGAATGACAAATACCTTCCTATGAAATGCCAGAAAGAAATAATGAGATGATAATTATGGAATGTTGAAAATAATCTATGTTATTATGTTTATACATAAATCTAACTTCATTAATAAATAATAATTTTGTTGCCTTTAATCATTTCGTTAACATATAGATAGATCTAAAGGTGACCAAGTTGTGCTATATATGTCCTCTTTTCATGTTAACTTCTGTACTACATTAATTATCATAACAAATTCTGTGAGCAAAGTCAATATTATATATACTAATAAAAAGACAAGCGATGCAAGAGACAATTCAGTGTACTTGACTGTCTTTTTCTTTTATTAGACTACTATTTGGTTAGATTTATTTGAAGAGAAAAGTTGATGGCAACAATCTTAAATATTCTAGGAGTACTTCAAATTAAGTGTTGGTTGATCGTTATCGGTTCCCTCTTGCTGTATGCGAGTTTCCGCTATAACTCTCATACCTTAAGCATAAATACAATAAGGTTCGAGTGACTCAGCACCGAACTCTTTACCCAGAATCTCTGTATTTGTAATCAGTTCAACTTGGTATCAGAGCCACATGGCTATTACCAACGGTGACAACTCAGTTTCCTCCACAAACAGGTCAGGCTCCGGATCTATTGTTTTGAGTTTGACTCAAAACTCTCTTCCTATTCTATCCAACATCACTCATTACCTATCCATTCAGCTTAACGGAGAGAACTATTTATTGTGGAAGGCTCAATTCCTTCCTTTTCTGCATATGCACAGGTGAATGGGGTTGATTGAGAGTATGTCATTAGAACCACCACAAGAAATTCCAGATCCTATTGATAGCAGCAAAATGATCACAAATCCGGAATACGCTTAATGGATACAACTTGATCAATTGGTGCTCAACTGGTTGGTTGCCTCTTTGACCGAAAGAGTCTTGGCCCAAATTGTTGGCCTCTCATCTGTTGCAGAAGTATGGAATGTGTTGGGGTTCCCTTCTTATGAGGTGGGCCTATTAATAAAGACAAGAAAGAAGAATAAAGAAAAAGACAAAAAGAAGAAAAGTGATTGGAAAGTAAAAGACAAAAAGAAGAAAAGGGGTTGGAAAGTAAAAAGACATTTTGCAATGGCTTGCAATTCGTCCTTGGCTATCTAACGAATTGGGAATAGCTCAGTCACTACTCTATCAAATCTAACAGCTCTCAAAGGGAAAATATTAGAGAAAGGAAAGGGTCTTGAGAAGAAGGTTTTTGGGAAGAAGAAGATTTACAAGGGCTGAAACAAAGAAGATAAATCCGTTTTTTCAGCATCCCTTCTTGCTTCCTTTGTTGTACTTCCATTTGCTATCTATTTTTGTTGATGTTTTTGTTGTTGGAATCAAAGAGTTTTCTTGATGTTYATCATATAGTTGTAACTAGATAGAAAAACATTGTATTCCATTATTATTGTTGATAATAGATGATTTAGATTTTAGTTCTGTGGTTTTTACCCTCACATTGAGGGGTTTTTCACGTAAATTTTGGTGTCTATTACTGTTGCTTGCTTTGCGTTTGATTATTTGTTTCATTATAACACACTTTTTATTTATTGTTAAATTCTCTTTGATTTGCATAAGGAAAATATAGGGATTATTCCCAACAAACTGTTAACAAAGCGCTTGGTTTTTTGTGTGAATCAAGGAAAGAGGTTTAGTTAGAATGATTTTATTAAATAGAAGGAATTGGTCTCTTTGAAAACCGAAAATGAAGGACTTATTGCTTTTCAAAGACTTGTACACACCTATGAGAGGTGATAATGGCAAACTAAAAGATATGTCCAATGAGGATTGAGAACTCCTTGACATAAAAATAGTTGCTTTTATTAGACAATGGTTGGATGATAGTGTCTATCATCTTGTAGCAAATGAAACCTCAATTGTTCCACTTTAGAATAAGTTGGAAGAATTGTATGAGAAGAAAATCACCAGCAATGAGGCTTTATTGATTAGGGAACTTATAAATTTGAAGTACAAGGAAGGTACCTCCATCACCGAACACTTGAATCAAATGAAAGATATTGTAAATCAATTAGCTTCAACGAAGATGGTGTTGGACGATGAGCTTCAAGCTCTATTATTACTTAGCTCATTGCCAGAAAGTTGGAAAACACTTGTGGTATCTCTCAATAGCTTTGCGCTCGATGGAATAGTGACAACAAGTATGGTAAAGAGCAGTTTGCTCAATGAGGAAATTAGAAGAAAATCATTAGAACCAAAACTAGATGCTTTACTTACAAAAAGTTGGGGTAGAAGCCAAATTAGAGGTCCACATAGCCATGACAAGTCCAAAAGAAAGTCTAAGTCAAGGAAAGACATTACATGTTTTCATTGCAAAAAACAAAGTCATTACAAGAGTGAGTATCAGAAACTCAAGAGAGACAATAAGAAAGAAGGGAAAGAAAGTGAGAGATGAAGAAAATGACATCACTACAGTTACAAGTGGAGATATTATTGTTCTTACAAGTTGTGATGAGTCTTGCATCAATTTAGCATGCCATGACATAGATTGAATTGTTAATATAGGTGCTTCCTGTCATGTTACTCCTCACAAAGAATCTTTTATCTCTTACAGTACAAGTGATTTTGGTATTGTAAGAATGAGAAATCGTGGAACTTCCAAAATTTTGGGGATGGGTGATATTTATCTCGAGATTGATGTAGGCTATAAATTAGTTCTCATGGATATCAGATTTGTTCTAGATCTCTGCTTGAATTTGATTTCAGTTGGGAAGTTAGATAAAAAAGGTTTTAATAATCAAGTCGGCAATGGAAAATGGAGACTATCTAAGGGGTCTCTATTGGTAGCAAAAGGCAAGAGATGTTGCACTCTCTACCGCACATAGGGACGCATGTGCAAAGGTGAAATGAACACTATGGAGAAGGAAGTCTCTACAGAATTGTGACATAGAAGATTGGGTCACATGAGTGAGAAGGGAATGCAAATTCTTGACAAGAAAAATCTGTTAACCGGCATGAAAGGTACGCATTTTAATTCATGCATTCATTGTTTAATTGGTAAACAAAATAGTGTTTCATTTCAAAGCTCTCCTCCTCATAGAAGAAATCATGTTTTAGAATTAATTCATTTGATATTAGTGGGCCTATGAAAGTCAAAACTCTAGGTGGTGCATCTTACTTTGTTACTTTCATAGATGATGCTAGTAGAAAAGTATGGGCTTATGCTTTGAAATCTAAGGATTAAATACTAGATGGTTTTAAAATTTTTCATGTTATGGTTGAAAGAGAAATATGTAGACCTTTTATGTGTATACATACTGACAATGGTGATGAGTATGAAGATCCATTTTAGAATCATTGTAAAAACCATGGCATTCGGCATGAGCAATCAATTCCTAGGACCCAATAACAAAATGGTGTACCTAAGAGAATGAACGACACCATTATAGAGAGAATTAGATGCATGCTATCACAAGAAAAGTTGCCAAAATGCTAATGGGGAGAAGCTATGCGTATAATTGTGTACTTGATAATTTTCTCGTGCAATTCCTTTGAATGCTAATGGAAAGCTTCAATCAACTCTGGTGTTGCACTGAAATGACTACAAGAATCATCACTGCACTAGGGTTTCAACAACCCGGACCCAACCTACCATATTAGTAATCACAATAGGAAGCCTAAATAGTTGATTGGAAGTAGCACAGTAGCCGAGGGCTCGACTGCACCCCATATTCTAGGTCTAGCAACCAAGGGTGGCATGACAACCTCCTCTACCCCCCATATCCATTTGAATGAAGTAATTATGATCATGAATAAATTAGTAGAAGATCGAGTCATTAGTCTATCTCCTCCACCTCCTAATGTCAACCCAGAGAAAGATCGACATGGTCCACGATGGTGCGATTTTCACTAATTGCCCAACCACGACCTAATGGACTACTTCACGCTATAAAGAACATTCACCCAAAAGGTGAAATTGAATGGCTTCATAAAGAGCAAGCCAGCCCAAGTTAACACTAACCCCCTGCCCAATCTCCAACAATGGGGGAGTTTGAATGTAGTTGGAGCATTAAACTATGGTAGCACAACACTGGATACACTACTAGTGAGATTCAAACAAAGCAAAGAGCTACAACAATTCTTTTGCAAGCAAGGAGCAAAGGACTCAACGTGCAAAGCAGCCATTAGGGCCTTGGTCGAGATATTCAAGCATCCACAAGAAACACGTCACCCTAGTTGCGTCAACATTGAATTTTGCGCACACAATATGCTAGTCACAAATCCCTATCACAAGAGACCCTTATACATGATGACAAAGATTTGCAGCCATGAAATGAGGAGATCATTAATAGACTAGAGGAGCTCTGTGAACCTAATATCATTGCACACCCTAAAGCTCATGAAAATCATGGAAGATGACATCCATGGCTTGCCCATTGAAGTTACCGACTTCAATTGTAACATCTTTGTGACCTGTGGCTCTATTGTGCTCCCTGTAGTCATTGGCCCATTTTTCATAAAGTAGGAACTTTAAGTAATATTGGGGCAAATGGCATATCATTTATTCCTTGGCCGACCACTGATTCACGCCCTGGCCTTAGTACCATCAACATACCACCAACGCATCAAGGAAAGGCACAATAACACTTTGATTCTTTGTGTTTGTTGCAATCAACCTATTTAAAGGCATTGTTTTATATTTGTGCTTACATTGTTATATTCTTTGTATTTGAGGTGATCAAGGAAGAAATCACTAGTGTTAGTAGGGATAGCACCAAGGAAGTCTATTTAGGTATAGCAAGCACCCAAAAGTCTTACTAGTTTGTAAATGTTTGATTGGCACCTAGGAAGTCTAGTCAATTTGTTAATGGAATTCTCAAGAGAGGCTTGAGGAGAAGACATGGCCAAGCTTGGCTGAACCTATATAGAAATCTCTATGTGCTTTACATTGTTCAAGAGCAGTGAATAGGGCCCATGCAGCTGCAAAGTTGGGTTGTCTTCTAGTTTTTTATCCTATTGTTTTATTCCTTTTATGCTTTCTGAGTTGTTATTCTGGGATTTCTCCAAATGTGTTTAGTTTTTCTTTCTTGCTTTGTTGTTGTTCTGTCTCTGTTTCTCTATTTTAATGAATATCTTTCTTAGAAAAAAAAAAGGCTTTTAATCAATTTTGTTCCTAATATCTCTAATGTCTTCTAACTCCTTCACCTCATTACATTCTTTCATAAGTAATTCCCACTTATGGATATTGTATTTTCCTATAAAAGAAATACATGACAATAGGTGTCTGAATTCACTTAATTAATTGATAGTGGCCAACCCTACCTTAAATTAATTGAATTCATTGACAATAGGCATTAAAGCACGATTGATGAGGGTACATATTGAATTGATGACCAAAGTTATTGAAGCTATAAATAATTTGAAGTTGAACAAAATTGTCCTAATGTGGTCTCAATTTGGCATGTCACAGAGGAAGCACCTATAGGTATTTTCCTCTATCCTTTATAAGTTTGGTTTTGGTTCTTCTTGAAATCTAATAGTAGGGGAATCTGGCGGAAGCATTTACACTAAGGACCATAATGTTTCAGGAAGGTTAGTCTTGGTCTATTCATTATTTAGCTTCCTTATGTGGGATTTGGATAATAAGGGGCTAACGATTGGAGTGAAGCAAGTGTTTGAGAGCAATTTTTAACTGGACAATTTGAAAGGTTTTGATCAGAGGATAGCTGAAGGAAAAAGATCTAACTGTAGTAAAATAATTAGGTAAAGAGATATATGTGCAACCTTATTAGTGATAGTTTTCAAGGATGTTGTATTGATAAATTTTCTAAAACTATGGTCTACAGAACTGAGAAGAAGAGGTTGAAGAAAGTTTGATATATAGAGCTTTTTGTGAAAGGAAAAAGAGCTAAAGGTAATTTTCTATTAAGGGAATCATGCACTAAGGCACACTAAGATAAAAAATCATAAAGGTTGCTTTACTTGCTTACACTTATAATGGTGTTGAAGGGGAATATGATCCATTATTTACAATGGCAACTCCTTTGGAAGAAATCATGCAAGTGATATTATGGTTGATTATATTATTTACATTGTTTACTATTTGGAGGGGAATATCCTGTCGGGTGTACAACTTCCTGCAATCCATAAGATGGACTGCTCTTGATAATTGTTGAGTGTTGTCTAAATTATTAACCTGTTAAATGCTTAAATGCTAAGTTGTTATCTATCACAGCAATAAGTAAATATTGCTGACTTGCATTCTCTTTTTTGGCTTTTGCTAATGTTTTTTACAACGTACTATTGTTTGAGAAATGTCATAGAGATAAAAGGCATGGTGTTGTCTTATCAGTCAGGAGGAATGCGGAATGCTTGGGAAGACACAAGGCAACCAAAAGAGAGCTTGATCTCCCAACTGATGATAATCGGTGCAACAAATGCTTTTGACTATTGCAGTAGCAACATCCTTGAGGGAGCTAGAGAAAGTCTATTGAAGACAATATTAGGAGGGTTTATGAATATGCCCTTTATTTATCAAATGTGATTTTGTAAGGGAAGCTTTTATGAATATGACCTGTATTAGTCAAATGTAATTATGTAAGAAAGCTTTTATCGATGTATCTCTGAATTTTGCATCTCTCTCAAAACATGTCTATTGGACTGAATGTGCATGCCTCTGTCACAACCAAGATATTTGGGTTGAAAGTGTAATGATAAATAAATACGGTATATGTTAACTTTCAACTTTCTGCTATATGCCAATGTAAGTATCACTTAGCTTAGGGGATTCCATTAAAAGTATTAAAATTTTATATATAACTGTAAAGGTGGAGGGTGAAAATGCGACCAAATCTAAAGGTTGGTGCCCCTATTAGATGATATGGGTGAATTATAGCATTAATTCACATGACAAAAGCAAGTGGAGTCATGTAAAAAGCTTTCCTACTTGGCTTGATTAAGAGATCCTTATAGTATTACTGATATTACTAGATTGGTTGCTTTCATTTTCTTGGTCCAACTTGAGTGGTCTTCGATTCAATCAAGTGGTTTGATCACTGTAGAAAATGGTTGAATTTCACTTAGACCCACTTGAGAGAGAGAGAGAGATTCTTGGCAATTGAGTGGGTTGATGATTGTGCCAAAGATCAACTAATATAGGGAACCTTCTTGAGCTTTAGCCTAGATGACCCATTTGAGCCCATAATAACCTACAAATTATAGAGTTTTTATTGAGTTTGAGCTGGACCCAGAATCAATCTATCACATAAAAATATTGCTATTTTAATTAATTAATTTATTTATGTAGGCTGGCCAGGGTCTCTAACAAATGGTATCCCTCATTTCAAGCACAGGAATGGATTTTTTTTCTCCTAAATTCCCATAAGAATGGGAAGTTTCAGCATTCTTTTACTATTCATTAATTTCTAATTTTATGGAGCACAAATTTTTGTTACTAAATTACCAATAAGAAAATTATTTAATTTTTTATTATCATCAATTAATAAAATTAATCAATTTTTGGATTTTCCCATGCATCACACAGGGCCCGCTAGTATACCTATAAAATATGTGTATGTACATTTGCAATTGAAAGTTTTACATATTTTCAATGCATTCTATTTTTAAATTGACCATAAATCTCTATGAAAGATGGCTATATAAAACATATACATAAATTCTTTCAAACCTAACCAACCTGCCCATGCCTAACAAAGTTTGGCCTGGCCCAGCCCAAGCCTGAGCCCAATCCAACTTGTGTTGGGTTAAGCTCAAGTGGACCTAGGTTGATAAACTTTGGCTTAACTTTGGGCTGGGCCAAGCCCCAAACCAAGGTTTTCTCCTTTAGGATTGGGGCTGGGTTGACCTTCAACCCAACCCAACCGATGCCCAAGTTGCACCCCTACATTGATTGTGTATACTTGCCATATACCCAAGGATAATAGGGTGAATAGAGCACATGATGCAATAGTTGTTGAATATAATCAAAAATTAAGATTTTCTATCATCTGTATAAAGTATGTAATCATAGTTGGTCTTAATCTCAACTAATTCAGTGTCTATTTATATTCCTACATTAATGTTGGATAAATATCTTTGAGATAAGTGTGCTTTCTCAAAATATGCTTGCAACTATATGTCTATCTTACCATTACCCGTATTGTACAAGGACCTTAGTAATCTAGAAAACTGTTCTACTTAGCTCTCTTTTAAAATAGGTTTCTTAAGGTTTGTTCTGCCAACACTGATGGGTTCAAATGTATTAAGCTGTATTCTCTTATCAAACAATGAAAAAAAGTATTAAGCTTTGTTCAAAGTAGCATAGTGAAACAATTGGTGATTGAATTGTCAACATTTCCTCGATATAACACAATCCATTCAATCAGCCCTAAAGATTTGATTGCAGAAGTGCCAAGTGCAAACTTGAACCTATTCTAGTGTTTTGCTGTGCAATTTTATTTCCATTAGTAGAAATGCATATGAGTAAAACTTGCACTCTTATATTTTTGCACCAATGAAAATGAAATTGCACTGCAAACAAGCCATGCCTCAGGTAAAAACTAAAAGAATTTTGAAATAAAAATAGAGAAAATACAATATGCAGGGCTGTTTAATGCCTAACAAGGGAGGAATATGTTCATGGACATGCAAGTGTGTTTTTGTGCATTTTATGCTAAGGAGAAGTTACAAAACCTTGCACCCAGGGCATTCTATGGCACCTTGTCCATTGCAAATTCCACACCTACTCTTTGCTGCCTACAGATTCAAGTAAAGTTGGTAGATCTTTGATCAATGATCAAATCATTTGTGAATCAACTCGATAAGATTTGTAGATTTGTTAATTAAGGGGGTGTTCTACAATATGAATGTTTTTTGTTTTAATTTGTTTTTAAAATTATCACATCAGCTAAAAAAAACAAAAATATGTTCTTGAACTGTATTTTGTTTTGATGAGCAAAAACAAGTTGGTTTGTTTCAAAAAACAATACATGTTTTTAATGTTAGTTTGAAAAGGAAAACACATATAATCAAAAACATGTTATCTATGATTTTGTTTTATATACCAATGAGTTCTCAAACTAGATGCTTTTGTTTTATTTTTGGAACTCACAACAAGAAAAACAATTCATATTAGAGAATAACACCTATAAAATTACTTGCTTTTCTTCTTGTTTTATTTTGGTAAAGTTCAACTTGGATACAAAAAAAGGATAAGATCACAAACAATGACCAAACAAGTGACCACCTTGTTGAAGGACAGGCTCTGACAAAGTAATTATTATTTAGAGATAGAGGAAATTCCTACAAGCAAATAAATTCTGATATCTCCAAGACCAACTCTACCAGGTTTTCTTTTACTGAAAGCATGCATTCAATGTCTTATCCCTAAGGGGGTGTTTTCCAATGTGAATTGATTTTCTTTTTGTAAGTTTCAAAAACAAAACAAAAACAACTTGTTTGAAAATAAACTGGTTATTAAAACAAAAACACAGAATCACATTCTTGATCATATATGTGTTTTTTATTTACAAAGGTGAACACAAAACATCTTATTGAAATTTGATTTAAAGAACATGCTTTCATTTGGTTATCTAATATCATGAACCACCAGCTGAGCCTAACTCTACATGATTTTCTTTTAACATATGATTTCCATGCTATAAAATTTGGTTTTGTTTTAAAAACCATTAGAGGGTGTTTTGGCAACATGATTGATTTTGGTTAATTTGCACAAATAAAAGCAATTAAATCATATGTTGTGGCAGATTTTTTCTTTTTCATTGGCAAACACTTCTATGAAACATAACCAACTTGCTTTTGCTTCAAAAAAGATGTCTTTGATCAACGGCCAATATAGTTACCAGTTCAGGTAGGCCTGGGGCATACTATATGTACTAGTTGAGTCAGAATATATTGTTCACCAATTCAGCACTTCACTTAACAATAATCCCTTAAGATTGTGTTTGGTAAGATAAAAAATAAGTGAAACATGAAACGGAGGGAAAATTCTATATCTATCTATTAAAATGTGAATAAGAGTATGAAACTTTTGTTTGACTAGAATATACCCCAATTTTTGAATTTGATCCATCTATAATTGTTAAGACAAATATGTAATTAATTTGAACAATCACTTTTCTCTCATTCAAATTCCTCTCATTAAGTCTTATATTTAAGATATTAAAACCCATTAGTATACATTGAATTATACTCTTGACTAGAATACCCCTATTTGAATTTGTTCACTCTCTAATTGTGAGGGTACAAAATATAATTTGAACTACTACATTTATCCACATTTAATTCCCTCTCATTACGTCTTATATTTAGAGTAAATCTTATTTCTTCATTGAATCCTATATTAATTAACCATATTAAATAAAAATAAGTGTGATAAAGAATGATTGCTTATATTGTTTATAGAAATAAAATATAAATTTAAAATCAACCAAAAAATGAAGTTGTTTTCCTGTTTGGTGGCAAGCCAACAATTCAACCTTTAAGGTTAAAATGCATCATTTGATGTCATAGTTAAATATTAACAAAAATTAAAAAAAAGATGAAAACACAAAAAAGTAAAAGGAAAATACAAAAAAGTTTGTAAAAAACATTTGAAAGATATTATTTATTATCATCATCATCATCATCATGAAAATTGCCACATGAAAAGCACATGCATACTTACTAGTACCACTATTAAAAGTGTGAATGATAATATGAAACTTTTATTTGACTAAAATACTAATTTTGAATTTGGTCCGGAGGTCACTCTCTAATTGTAATGATAGAAATGTAAATTGAACAACCACTTTTTTACTCATTCAAATCCCTCTCATCAAGTCTTATATTTAAGGTATTAATGCTCATTAACACCCACTAAATTCTATTCTTGACTAGAACACCCTTATTTTTGAATTTGGTCCCTCTCTAATTGTGAGGGCGCAAAACGTAATTTGAAAATCTATGTTTCTCCTCATTAAATCTTATATTTAGGGTATTAACTCCCATTATTTCATTGAATCCTATATTCATTAATTGTATTAAAGAAAAATAAGTGTGGAAAGAATAATTGTTTTACTGATGATAGGAATAAAGTACAAATTTAAAACCAACCAAAAAATGGAGTAGTTTTCCTATTTGGTGGTGAGCCAACAATTCAACTTTTTGGGTCAAATGTGTCAAACCTAGATGTTATAATGAAATAATAATAATTGAAATTGATGAAAACACACAAAGGTATAAAACTATAAAAAAATTGTAAAAAATAATTAAGCACATTTCAAATATTGTATATTCACCATATTAAGCAAAAATAAGTGTGACAAATAAGAATAATTTTTATAGACATAGAAATATAAAAAAATGTAAAAATTTTGAAAACATATTATTTACTATCATCATTAAAAATTTCTGCACACTTACTAGTTCTCTAGAAATATCAGAAAATTCCTTAAACAATTTCCCTTGACTTCTTTGACTACATTTGGCATTCCTTATTTTAAGGACTTATCTCCCTTTTTGCGGTTAAAATGCTCCTATCGATACTGAACTTTTTACCAAGTCCTTAAAATAAGGAATGCCAAACACAGCCTTATTTCTCTACGATGTTCTATCAAAACAAACATAGCATAACTGGGTATATGGTTTGAGGTAACTACAGACAAACAAATACATATACTATTCTTAACTTGCATAAAAAATATTTTACTTTTTTTCAGCCCAATTGAACAGGTTAAGCTAGAAGCTATCTGACCTGACCAATTGGGGCTCAAATGTTGGAGCCAGATTTGCTTGAATTCATATTGATCATCAGTTGCTTAGAGCACACTGATTAGATAGCCATGATTTAAATCTTTCGTTTATCATCTCTTTCTCTATGAGTGTATGTAATAGACGAAAGTTTCGTGTAAAGAGCAAACGGGCTCTTAAATTGAAGCAATTAGAGTCGCCACAAAAGAAAATAGAGAAATAGTACTTTGGAACTTGGTAGAGAAGGTGTTTTAAGTTATGTAGACAGGAGAGGTGCATAGCATACCTTATTGATTGAAAATCCGCCTGAGCTGAATGCAGAAGTTGTGAAGGTCTTGGCTCTTTCTGGCTTAATTTGAAACCCATTGAGATTGGGCTGAGGATGGGAAGGTATAATAGACGGCATAGCCACATCGATGAAATTGGAAAAGGAGAGCTTGGCCATTTCTCGAGTCAGAATGAAATTCCTTTTGCTCCAAGATGGCCGATGCTAAGCACAAGTTGGAATGACTGGATAACAAAAAGAAACAATGACATCCACTTGCTTGGTTTGATGGATCATTTTATCCCCACTCCCGCCCTCTCACACACACACATATACACACTAGAGATAAGATTGTGGGATCCAAAATTTTCAGTTATTTGATGGTTTCTGAAAAGACTAAGGGGGGTGTTCTTTTCCTGGATTTTGAGAGGGGGGAAAGTTGGTCAACGGGATTATGATTCTCATTGACCAACAATCATATTATTATTTTTTTTAAGATTTATGTGGGGACCAAGGAAAGTTTATTTTCCTGTGTATCACTTACCCGGACAAGTGATAGTGTGATACCCATCTCTTAGGTGGATAAATAACTTTTCCAACTGGAGGAAAGTTGCCAACACTTGAATGAGACAAAAATACCCCTTTTAATAATGGATTTTTATGGCTAAAATGATCATTGCCTTATTTACATGGAAAATAAAAGAACATAGTAAGTGCACTTACTCGGGTAAGTCTTTCCTAAGAAACACTTACCTGGGTAAGTGACTTACCGAAAAGTGAACGGGGCCTAAATTAAAAGACTTGATATTTTGCCTTTAATGACTGAAGTTGCGGGTGCATGGAAAAAGTTTTGGCTGTTGGGGTCCAACAGCCTATGCTGTTTGAAAACATTCTTGGAAAATCTGCGTTACCATGAGGGCACTTACCCAGATAAATAACTTACAAAAAAAGTGCACCACCTAGATAAATAACTTATCGAAAAGCGAACAGTACCTAAATTAAAAGACTTAATATTTTGCCTTTAATGACTGAAGTTGCGAGTGTACGGGAAAAACTTTGGCTGTTGGACTATGCTGTTTGAGAACATTAATTTTTGAAAATGCCACGTTATCATGAGAGTAGGGTAAAATAGTAATTTCCCCCTTTTTTTACCAAAAGATAGACATGGGCGTGAATGGGTTAATGTGCCCAGCCCAAGAATTTTGACTCCATGTAAATACCACATGGGCGATTTGATTTTAAAGTTGTGTTTAGTTCAATAAGTTAATTATTTTAATTTCTATCAAACCAAATAAAACGTTTAACATGTAAAAATTGTATTTAGCATTTTAGCTTGGTAGATTTGATTTGAAATGTTACACTACATCTTTCATTTATTTTAACCCCAAACTTTATTCCCATATGAGGAGAGGCTACTTACAAAGGGGAGACATTAACACATCACTTCCTTGACTCCGTTGATTTTTTTGGGGGTAAATTGCTGAAGCCTCCCTTGAAGTTTTCTCACCATTACTGAAAATTCCCCTAAAGTTTGATAGTTCCAATCTCCTCTCCTAAACTTCTTAACACAATTTCAAGCGGCCTAGATGAAAAGCTTATTAGTTTGTCTTTTAGTGAATAAGTTTTTAAGGTAGTTGTGGGATCTTTAATTGTTGGAGCTGAAGTTGGGTAGGTTAGTATACCCTTGAATATTTTATTATTTAATTATAAAATAATAAATAATTATTTAGTGAATAAGTTTTTAAGGTAGCTGTGGGATCTTTAATTGCTGGAGCTGAAGTTGGGTAGGTTAGTATACCCTCAAATATTTTATTACACTACAAGAAATATGACCTTTAGCTACGGATAAAACCATGGCTAAAGGTCAAAAAACCATAGCTATAGACCTATACTACGGTTTAGCTATGGACAGAAAACCTTAGCCTATATCCACGGGCTGAACTATAGCTAAAAGATGCATATAGCTACGGTTTATAAATTGTCCGTAGTTATATACYCAAATTTATAACCACGAATTTTTATAAAATCGTAACTATAATTCTTCTATTTATAGCTACTGTTTGCTACAAAACCATAGCTGAATGTACTAACCTATAACCATGGTTTTTTGCTAAAACTGAATTTAAATACTCTAACCTATAGCTACCGTTATTTGACAAACCATGGCTAAAAGATGCAATATATGCCCACAATTTCTTGGAAAACCATAGTTAATTGTTTCAATCTATAGAAAAAATGTGGCTATATTTCAAATAAAATAGTAAAATAATGACAATTAGGACTACCACCTTAAAGCAACACCTACTTTATTCATACATCACCTAAAAATTATATAATAACTTCTAGAAAATACTTATATTATTATAATATTTCAATACATGCCACATATAATTTGAATACATCCATTGTTCTACCAAAAAAAATACATCCATTGTTTAAAATGTATTAAATACCGCACAGGCCCACATGAGTGTTGCGAAGCACGACCTCGGCCTCGAAAGGTCGCAAGCAGTGCAGATAGGGGAGCGTATAAGATCTTCGGTACAACCATTCGTCTATCATGACGTATTTGGCTGCCTGACGCTCTACCCTTCTAGCAACATTACGGTCTGCAGGGAGGGTCCCATGTAGCAGGAAGCTCGCGAGTCGATTGATCCAGATCGGCTCTGCTTGTACGACAGGACCGACCTCCTCTGCCCCCCCCGAAAATGCTAGGCCGAGGCAAGTTCTCTATGTACACGGTTCTCATGGTATTATCACATGTGCTGGCTATCCGGGACAAAGCGTCGGCCTCAGCGTTCTCAGACCTCGGGATTTGCTTGATGAAGTGGGACCAGAAGTTGAGTAGAGCCTCTCTTACATTGGCTAAGTAGGCAACCATGGTTGGCTCGCGAGCTTCATATTCACCTGTGAATTGGTTGACCACGAGCTGGGAGTCACTACAGATGACAATGTGCTTGGCTTTCACTTCATTTGCTAGAGCCAGTCCGGCTATTAATGCCTCTTACTCCACTTCATTCTTGGATGCAGCGAACTCAAAGCATAGCACGTACTCCAATTTCGCACTGCTTGGAATGTACAGAACTATTCCAGCTCCGCTGCCCTGCTGATTTGACGAGCCATCCACATGAAGGATCCAGGGCTCCTCATCCTAGTTTGGGTTTAATCTAACTAGGAGAGAAGCCGCACTGGTTACCTTGCGGTGCTCGGGCTCGTCCGACCTAGGAACTTCGGTGCTGAAACTACATTCTACGACGAAGTCAGCTTAGGCTTGGGCCTTGATAGCAATTCACGGCTTGTACTGGATGTCGTACTCGCTGAGCTCGATGGCCCACTTYGTCAACCTACCAGACACCTCAGGCTTGAGCAAGACTTGCCTCAAACGCATATTGGTGAGAACAACGATAGTATGAGCTTGGAAGTACGGGCGAAGCTTCCGAGCTGCAACAACTAGAGCATATGCCAACTTTTCGATCTCTGGATACCTCATTTCTGCCCCCTGCAACACTTTGTTAACATAGTAGATAGGCCGTTGGACCCGATCTACCTCTTTTGTTAGTACCGAGCTTACTACCTCGTCACTCGCAGAGAGGTATAGCTTCAAAGTGTCTTCGACCTCGGGTCGGGTCAAGGTTGGGATGTGGGCAAGGTACTTTTTGAGCTCGTCGAAAGCGAGCTGACAGTCTTCGGACCATTTGAAGCCTTTGCTTTAAATTGCCTTGAAGAAAGGCAGACAGCGATCTGCCGGCCTAGACATGAAGCGGCTCAGGGCGGCTATGCGGCCATTCAACCTCTGAACCTCCTTCAATTTCCGGGGTGGTCTCATATCTAAGATTGCCCWAATTTTTTCAGGGTTAGCCTCAATGCCACATTGGTTGACGATGTAGCCTAGGAATTTACCTGAGGTGACACTGAAAACGCACTTGTTTGGATTTAACTTCATGTTAAATTTATGCAAGATTTCAAAGACAGAATGTAATTCCTTTATTAAATCACTCAAAAAATGAGTTTTGACAACCATGTTGTCTACATAGCATTCTACTTTCTTGCCGATGATGAATGGCTCAAACAATTTGTTTACAAGTCTTTGGAGTGTTGCCCCGACATTTTTCAGTCTGAAGGGCATGACCTTGTAGCAGTACAGGCCGAGCTCGGTTATGAAGGCTGTTTTTTCTTCATCAGCAGGGTCCATTCTGATCTGGTTGTAGCCCGAACAGACGTCTAAGAAGCTCAGCAACTCATGCCCTGAGGTCACGTCCACCAAACGGTCGATCCTGGGGAGTGGGATGCAGTCCTTCAGGCAGGCCCGGTTCAGGTCGGTATAATCGACACACATGCGCCATTTACCGTTAGCCTTTTTTACCAGAACGGGGTTGGCCACCCTGCTCGGGTAATGGACTTCCTTGATAAAACCGGCTGCGAAGAGCTTCCTGACCTCCTCATCAACTGCTCTCCAATGCTCCGGGGCTAGGTTGCGTTTCTTTTGTCTAACGGGCCTAACTACAGGATCAGTGTTCAGTTTGTGAGTGATGATGCTAGGGTCTATGTCGGGCATCTCTGTCGTGGACCATGCAAAAACATCTAAATTTCTAAGTAAGAAACTTACCAGTTGAGATCACAGAGGCTCCTCGATTGAAGTGCGGATCTGAAGTGTCCGATTGGGTCCTCTGTCGAAGTTGGCACGGAAACAGTCTCTTCCATAGGTGTAGCTCACTCTTCGCAATGCTCCGCAGGTCACTCCAGCTCGAGATCGTCTGCCACCTTGGCTTTTCCTTTGAGAGCGGCGACGTTGCACTTGCGAGACTCGAGTTGGTCACCTCGTGCTACCCCAACTCCAAAGTCCATGGGGAACTTCATTGCCAAATAACAGGTGGAGACCACCGCACGTAGAGCATGGGTGATGGACTGACCTATTATGGTATTGTATGGGAAGGGAGTCATGACCACTAAAAAGTCGTGGTTGAGTCTCACTATGCTAGGCCAGGTGCCGACCTCCACAGGTATAGTGATTCTCCCTAAGGGCCTGACTTCCTCTCCGCTGAAGCCCACCAGGGGAGTACTTGCGGGCTTGAGGTCACTCTCTTGGAGCTGAAGCTTGTCGAATGCGGTTTTGAAGAGCATGTCTGCCAAGCTGCCGGAGTCGACGAGGACGCGCTTAACCTCGAAATCATTGATCCTTATCTTCATGACAAGCGCGCCATCGTGAGGGTAGTGGACTCCGTGTGCGTCGTCCTCGGTGAAGAAGATCGGTTC